GGAGCAGGGCGGGGGGGGGGGATGAAGAGAGGCTAGAGAATGTTAATGAAATATTTTAAAAGCGCGGCCATCTTTCTCTGGATACTAAAACATCAAACACCCACCGCATAAGCCTGCCTTTTGGGTTTAACATAAGTTCTCATGAAACTATGCCACTGACACAGTAATGATAACTTAAAGAAGCACACCACCACATCTACTGGTTGGCAAAAGTAACATGTATGTGGTTGTGAAACTAGTATAAAAGTACGGTATTTGATCTCATAAAAAGGAAAGTTCGGAGAAAATATTCCAACCGTTGGACTAATTACCCTGACTAGCAGTAAATTTGCCAGGTAGGAAAAATAAAACATAGTCTGGAGGAGAAGATAAGACTTTCATTCTTTCAACAGATTTGAATTAGGAGTACAGTTATGAGAGCACAATCACGAAGCAAAGTGTCATTAGATTGAACCCTACTATGAGTGATTCCATAGTCTTGTCAATCAATGGCGCTCCAACATCGGAGAACTGAAACTCTCAACAAAACCAAAATGCTTGTGGCTATGACATACTTCGTCTAGTCACCATGTACTTGCATGAATAACGTAAATTAGCGAAAAGAGTTGACAATTCCACAGGAAAATGTCCTCAATTCCCCTTGCACTCATGTAATAATTATTCATGAGCATTAAAAGGCCCTTGGAGCATTTTGAATGACAGTGGTAGTCCCAGTTTTCGATTAATTAAAGAGGATGGTGTTTAACTCCCAATTAAATTGGCACATTTAAGGGACATCCCTGGACCTATAAACCCTAATTCTACAAATTCAAAAAAACCAACTAAATGTTTCCTCCAAGTAAATTATTTCAAAACGTGTATAATTGCTGCTAATGTACTAATATCCCAGTGTTTGAAACTCATTTATTGAATTAGCTATCTAAATTGCTTGCTATTGCTGAACAGAGGGGGGGGGGGGAGGAAGTCCAATAAAATAAAAACAACCACAAAACAGAAGAAACCTCAGTTCTAAGCGAATAACAAAACTCCCAAGGCCATTTACGAAGACGTTTTTCAACACTCGCATCGTGAAAAAGACTACCTCATCTAAGCGCAAGTCTTAGGAAGTGTGGTTGGCTATTCCACGCACAATGGCGAGCACTGTTAGGCATCAAATCACTGACCCCGAATCATGTCGTCGAACATCCCAATCACTGTGGTCGTCAAGGTGTTGGGGATTGTTCAGTGGAGGGAGGGGAGGAATTTAGCTGTTAGACGAAAAGTTGCTTGAAAAAAAATCAGCCTCTTGAAAATATGCAAACTGCTATTTTTTAGAGGGCAAACTAGGAGGGAGAGGGAGAGGGAGAGGGGAAGAGAGATAGTGACACACGAGAGAGAAATCAAATCAGGAAAGATGAGATTTCAAAAACCGAATTTTCAAGGAAGACTTGTGATTAAATTATCCTCGAGGAGGCAATAAGGAAGTTATTAAATTTTTTAAAAAAAAAGAGTTTAGAGATGCTAAAGGAAGGCTTTTGGGAAAAGGTATTGAAAATACCTCACATATCAAACAATTACTCGAATATTCATGAGAATATTAGGCGTAATTTCGACCAATCAAAAACACACATTTGACAAGCAATTAAGTAATGAAGAATTAGTAGGAAGGATTAAATCAAAATTTAGATAAATTGTTGTTCCAATAAGTAGCTATCTTCACGAAAATCGCAATAACACGACAAGGATAAATAGTACCAAAGAGGCTGATTGTCACCATCAAACATGCTGAGTTTATTATTGGTTGGTGTGCTCCAAAGCGTCCGTCGATGGGCATTTACGTTTCCAAGTGCTGTTTACTTTTGTATTTTGAAAATAATGAATGATGTTAGTGCATTTCTCATTCGCGGTCACCTTAGGACTACAGGCAAAGATCCCAGAGAGCACGTCTTGATAAGATCAAATCATTGCGTGCTAGTTGATTTGCAATAGCATTGGATGACAAGGATTCTTTGTGTCTGAAATGCAACAATCCAGCCCCATCCCTCCCCCTCCCCACACACACACACAAATCTCATTAGCCTGTGCTTGCCAATATGCCAATAAACACAGTTGATGAAAGCATGCATTAGGAGATTGGCGAATGGCAATAATAATGCTACCCACTTACTTTAATGAATCGTTTAAAGTTTACAGACGAACTGTGGGAGAAATTGCGGGGTCGATTAGGGCAATCAGAGGAGAAGGGGGCATTGTTAATTAGTGGACAGAATTTGATTGACACAGTAGCGGTCTCCTCCTTATCGGCAGAATTGGACTAAAATTAAGCAAACCCCGATGGTAAAGCGAATGTGAATTAACAAATAAAATTTGAAAAATTTTCACTTGATGATAATGGACAATATCAGATAATAAGCAGTGGTAATACTATGCTTTCCTGCCCAGATCAGAGGAGGAGATAAGTGAAAGAAAGTTGGAAAGATTTTTAAAAAATCATAAGCAAATAATTTTTCCACATATATATTTTGTACAAAAGATAATTACGTTATTTTTTTGCAAATTACTAGTGCATTAAGTCGCATTATTTCTTATTGAACTACTATAAAATCACCATGGAATGCTCAAAGTAAAGTACCCTCTGTGTCGAAATGATCAACGTGCATGTCAACCTAATCAGAGATCATGAGATCGATCGATGAGATCGATTCCCTGCCTTTGTGTCTGTCTATCACTTTTGTATCTTTGAAACTCTCTTCTGCTCAAACTCCCGAATTTTTCTCACTTTGAAGTTCCTCCCCTCTGTGAAGCCTGAAGTCAACTAAGGGGTTAATGATAACTATCAAAACGCCTGCCATTTGATACAAATAAATATTCTATTTACACTTATTTTCGGACATCCATTTGAAAACGAGTGGACAAGGCCAAGCATACGAAAAATTTTATTCAATCCTCAAATCCAGTAGGAGAACGAATTCATAAAATCCAACATTTGACAAGGAGCGGAACTTTCTGCAGCCTTTTCAGTAATAAATTTGCCTACTGTGATTTGGATGTAATAGTTAACAAGCACTCCTACTGAACTAGAAGTCGAGATATCTAGACAATCAAGTGAGTAATGTCCCCCATTAAGGCAATTAAGTGTTATTGTTTAGTTCTAAGAGTTGCGGATATTCTGAGTCTAATCAAGTTGCGACTGACTCATACTCAACCTAACCGTCACGTGTATGAAAGACACTGCTCACAATTCACTGTTTGGATAATTTCTTAGGCATCTCGAACTCTCTCAAACTATCTCGAAAATTCTAAAATTCTATCAAGTGTGGCGAAAATGTTCCACATTAATGTAATTTGTCGCCTACTAGTAGCACAGCAGCGAGATTTGATCGATCGAAATTCACATCGATCAGGCATTTTGAAGAACACTCCGCTATTTCCCCTCTCTCATCAAGTTGATTAAAGTGTTAATTGTTATGAAAATAAATAAGAAACATAATGAATATTATTTGATGAGTACAGAGAAATTGACTAACAGACATACATATATATATATATATATATATATATATATATATATATGATAGATATTCGGCAACTCACCTCTTTAGAAACACCAGTCCTACCCGCCAGCTAAACGAGAACAGATATAATGAAAAAGTAGAAATGCAAACCTTCTGTCCCACTTCTTTAGAGAGAAAGCCATCAGCTGAAATCGGAGGATTTAGGAGCGGCTGTAAGATGTTCTTCCTACCTGCGCGAATGTTCTCCTTGTCATTGGAAGAGAATTCACGAGGATATTTAGGCAAAAGAGGACTCTTGTTAATTTTAGGCGATAAGGCAGATATCTCATCTGAAAATGGGGGAACAAAGCAAAACATTTTCCAACACAATTGGTAGAGCCGAGTTAACCAAACCCCAAGGCCATAAAGAGAAGCAATGGGATTAAAATTGATGAGCAGGAAGTACTACTACCGGAACTTTAATAAAAGTAATTAAGCCGGGTCGTGACTCTGCGTTCAAAGACGTTGATTTCAGATGGAAAATAAGACTCTCCGCGTAAATGGAGCCTAAACAGAGATGAAGAACAAGGAATTGGAAGATTTTTCCCCTGCACTTCAAAAGAATCTTCAATTTCAAGTTGACACAAGCAGAAAAAACGTCAACTTTATACTATACATCAACAATTAGTGAGCTGTTCGGTAACTACCAAGCTCCACTTTGTTTATTCTGTACACCTGCCTTCTTCATTGTAATCATTCTAAGTACTAAATGTTTAACGTGTCTTGACATTTTATCTATCGCATATCTGAACATCTTAAGGCTGTAAACTGGTGAATAACATAGCGGATTAGTTTAGATTCACAATCTTTGGAAAAAACAACAGAGACCCCACATTATGATTTTAAAAAGAAGGTTACTAATAAGCACTGGACAACGCAAACTGACTAGTCATGGAATTCAAATTTTACAGCAGGAACTGCCCATTCAGTAAATTCGCTCAAACTGAAACTGGAAATCAAACGAGGCAGGACGAAGGAAGGGAGTAACTTGTCCACTAAAAAAATTCACTAAACCATAGGCGCAATCGAACGTGGAAATGAAGCATCCGAGGTGTGAACTTCCCAAAGTATTTGAATTGGAAAATTCACGTCATTGAAAGAAGGCTTCAAAACTCCCATCAACATCTTGTAAGTGGATTAATCCTATAAAGCCCTTGGGACAGAACGGTCCTCTTTCCCAATTAAGTTCTATTGGTATTAGACTCGTCACAGAAGGCGCTCCTATTATCGTTTGATAAACATGTTCAATGCGTCTTTAGCCTTCACCTGGTACCACCAAAACTCATCACGCGTGTGTGCGTTCAAAAAATAATTCGGGCGTTTAAGGGCTAATAAAAGGCTCATTAAGTTGCTGTAGGACTCTCAAACGGCTTAATTAGCTGTCCCAATGGGCTTTCCTCGCGATTCCTACAGAAGGGGAAATCGCCTTTTATTTTGAATTTTGACAAATATGTGATCTGATGTCAAATTTTAGCATTGCTACACTTTTCGTAGTTTTTTTTTCTCAACTCTCATTAACTTCACATTGCAAGGGAGTGTAGTGAAAACAGAATTTTCAAGAACTATTGCGTCCCCATTTCCAGTTCTTTATGGAAGTGAGAAAGGCGACGAAAGCAAAAAAATGTATTAATGCGACAGCAGCAACACCAACAAAATGGCATTACAGCGGCATAAAAAGACCCGACCATAATCGGCAACTTTATTGCTACTCCCCCCCCCTTCCCCAACCCCCACCCTCCTCAACCCCCNTCCCCACCCCCCCCCCCCCCCCCCCCCCCCCCCCCCCTCGGTACTAATCCACTAAATTGACCCGTTAAGTTTAACTTCTTTTCTAATATAGGAAAGGAAATGATTTAGTAAAGTTTCAAAGTTAACGCTTCTGATTTCCTCCCAAAAACAGCAAGCATATCAATTAGCTGTTCTTTTCGAGGGTCAGGAGGGTGAGATGTACCAAGAAGGTGTTAGAAAATCGTCATTAAACATGCTTATCAGATGTCACAGGTTTAAAATTCATCGGTTTATGGCCAACATATAAACTCAATATTACTTAAGATGGGAAATATTGAAGTGGGAAATTTCGCATTTGTCATCAGAATGATTCCACTCAATAGGAGTGTAAGACAACTCCCCTTAAATCAGCTTGGAAGTTAATGAGCAACCGATTCGAAATTCTAATAACATAAACTCTGATCGCGAAGTGAGATCATGATGTTGATTCAAACAATATCAGTAAATTAAATATAAACAATCTTATTATGAACTGAATTGTATTTGTCTTAATTGATGCCTACTTCTTCCAATATTATTGGAAGTTACGTGCCTCATTGCGAATAAAATTTGTGATTTCACAGTAATAACAATAACGAACTCACTGCATGATTCCATTGTTTCACTATTTTTCTCGATAAGCTCTCCACTGGCTGGTGCCCCTACGCTAATTTTAGGAACCTCGTCAACCTGATGGAATATCTTATTTTTCTTCAGCATTGAGGAGAAAGAAGGCATTGAATCAAAAGCATTAAGGACTGGGTCATCTTCAAACACTTCATCCACATCAAAGTTAGCATTAATATTTCCTGTAAAAAAGGGAAATAATTAATTAGAAGCAGGTTATTAGGAGGTGGAATTTGACAAAAAGGAGATGAATTTGTATTGTGAAATCTGGAAAAGCAGAGGTGGTGTGCTTTTCCGATTGTTTCTACACACCCATCACTGGGCATTGATATGATTCGAAGAACTGCATAACCCTCCGTGTCAACTGTAATCTTGCTCACTACAATCACGCCTTCTCTTCATCTCACAGTGTGGCAAAATGCTGTGTGGTAATATTTCAGACGGACTACGCTACTCAGACCCTAAAAGTCTGTTCTAAAAGTCCCCATGTGGAACATAGATAGACTGCGTCTATAAACTTACTGTCTGTACCATAGTCTGCGTTTAGATTTTTGTGAATTCTTCTAGAAACTGATTTTGTCGTAGATTTTTCTACTTGCAAAGTAGCCTCCTTTTTCTTTAATGTGGAGACGAAAGGAGGGATTGAATCAAAGGCGTCAAGAATTTGGTCATCTTCGTTTGACTCCTCATGACAGTCACTAGAGGTGTTTCCTTAAAGAGAAAAGAAAATAAACAGATTAAAATATTAGTTCTTTATGCGATTATGGAGATAAATACTTCTGAGCCTTGAACGATGATCTCTAAATTATGATAGGAATCGTGCTACCCTTTGTTAATAGGGCAGAAGTCAGAAGAATTGCGTTGCTTGCCGATTTTGCTAACAAGTCTTTTCTTATAAGTGTATGAATGGAAATGGGATTTCACTGTGAAAATTGTTATTTCAATTTCCAAGATGAATTGTGAGGTTATAAGGTAATCCTAATCACACCTATTAAATCGCATTCTTATTCTCCTACTATTTTTACATCAGTAGATAGTTTTATAAACGTGAATTTAACTAATTCCATAAGGGGTTTAGCTGAAAACAATAAGTTTCTGTTCTTTGAAGTACAACCCAAGCACTGAAGAATAAGTCTTAAAGACAACTGGAATTAATATCAGTTTCGGAATACTCATAGGATAGAATCCAACGTCCAAGAAAAAAGTTTGGAAGTCAACATACGATTCTGATTTGGGGCCGAAGGAAAAACTGTGGATTCAAAACTAGTTCGTGGGGAGGGCTGTTTCACCTCTTTCGCCAATTCCTCTTTGATTGAAGAATTTCGATTCGTCGAATTATTGGTTTGGATGTTGGCTTGTTCAGTATCAGGTACAAGGATGTGTGATGGCTTCTAAAAGTGAAAAGAAAGTATAGTTTATTCCAAGGCCAGTAACGTGAATTCGACAAGGTTCCACAAACATTCAGTAATTGAAATGGCCAACCGTGCAGACTTCAATCAGGCAATAAATGACAACAGATAGCGAGTTTCACTTCAGAAAATCTAAATACGACATTGCTTACCGAGATAAGCTTGGAACCTGTAACCCATGTATAATACTTTACAATTGTAGATTTACACAGCGTTTCCGAAACCGGAATCGTGCACTCATTCCGACTATTTTAATCACATATAAAGAGGGCATCTCGAAATCTAATGTCAGTAGCGAATGAACTAACCTTTTTGCTAACCTATTAGCACATTTTACAATAGAGAATCCTTATCTGCTTAACTAGACACGTTTTAAAAAGAAAATCCGCCATTTCCTTCCCAAAATGAGTCCGCTTATAATAAATTGCGCAATTCATATTTAACGTAATAAACGATTATGATGGTTTAGATACTTTTGAATTAAAATTTTTAGTCAGGTTAAACCTGAACTTCAAAAGATCAGACAATAATGCCAATAAAAATTATCATTCCCAAATAAGTAGGACATGATGAATGGAATGTCAAATACCTATTAATAAACTGTAATGGCTTCGAATAATAAAAATATTTACTGAAATTCTGTGTACAAGTAAAGTTAAAAAATAATAGAGTTCAAAATTCAGTGCAATAATGCTAGAGCTTATCTCAATACACCAAATAAAAAATTACATGGATGATTTATATACCACCTCTACTCAAGGCCTTATTCTTAGATAGGAAAGAAATATTAAAATTTAAACCAAACAGTATATTACCTTAGTTGGTTTAGTAGAACGAGTCGATGGAGGAAGAATAGGCGTTCGTCTACATTGACGCTTTGGAACAGATTCCAAAAGATCTGTTTCTCTATTCTGATCTGTTGACTGTTCTCTGCAAAAGCGAGCATATAGGTCATAAATGGAATTATGAATTTGAACTAATTTAGCATGACAATTTGCCGTATAAATTATTCTACTTATTGAAATAAGTAGTATTGTTATATTGATAGATTTTTTAGACAGCGGATTTTGTGAATGAGCATTTCATAAAAAATAACAATTATTATTAGGGCGGAGACTCAAAAGCATATAATAGTCAGTATGCCATCATGTGAAATCTGGAGAGGTGTGATTCACTGGTGTACCTTCTGAAATCAATATTTCCACTGTGACTACTTCCTCAAAATCTTCAAGATTCAGTAATGCTATCCAGAATAATGAGTATCGATTTCCCCCCCCCTAAATGTTTTGCAATTATTTTACCTCAATCAACTAAGGAATATTAATGCAAATTACATACAAGAGGAAACTAGAAAATGTCATCCAGTGGAAAAAACATCATAATCCACTCCTGAGATTCAAATAATTGGGATTAGTAATTGCAAACTCATTTCGTCTTTAAAATTATCAAATTTCGGCAGAAAGATTAACTGTTGAAAGTAATAACTAATAAATATCAGTGGCCAACCGATGGAAAATATTACCTATAATTATATAGCTTAAACTGAGCCTAGGTCCACATCATTAACCCCGCTTTAAAAGGCAGAAAACATGATAGATTTATTCCGACGAAAAAGAATCTGGCAAATATTCCCAAATTGGAAGATTGAAAAGACGCTTAGAGTATTATTAACAGAAGAGAAAATAGTGGGTTAGCTCGACCATAAACTTAAACAACGATATTATTCAAAGAAATGGTTAGTAAATAGATATTTTGAGCCAGTAATTAGTTTTTTCTCCAAAATGTTAACTAGGAATGAACCAGAGAAATGGACTCAGTAAAATTAAATGTTCTGGATTCGGAACCTGTTAATTCAAATTATCGATTTAAAAAAACTAACGTCCTAATTAAAGCTTGCCTTTAATTGGGGGCTAAGAGACCATGTGCATAGAAATATCCTTTTATACAACGAACATTGGCAGCCAACATCACATTATTAATAGCTATAACAAAAACTATCTTCGATATTTCTTTCAAAATCGCAATTTGATAGTGGTAAAAAAAGGTATCCGTCCGTTTAAAGCAAAGTAAAACGTGCACAAAATCAAAATGTAAGAAAGCTATGGGGTACCTTGGACGTTTTAATGAGCTGTCACGTCGGCTGATCACCGATTCTAAATTCCAAGAACTATACTCGAAAGAAGTATTCAGGAATCTTCTATCAGAACCAACAGGGCATGGACAAGTAGCGTTGCAATAGACCGCACAGGAAGAATCAATAATTGCCAGGGAAATTTCTTGATCCAAGATTGGACGTCGATTGAAATTCTCCTTCAACACTGAATATGCCAACTCGTGGCCTGAGTTCACATTCCCAGACTCATAAACAAGACAGGGATCGGGCGTCGAACCAAAAAGATCAATGAAGTACGTTCGAGAGAGGGATAACTTTTCAGGAACACAAATTGACTTCGCGTTGGACAAATTTAGTAGAAGATTAAATCGCTGAAACTTTATAAGCACGCGCAATAAAACCATATTAGAAGAAAATGGAACTACCTTAGTTTCAAGGAGAAATATAAAGGTTTTACCGGTAAAAATATGACGTCTATTCGGATTAGCTTTAAATTTTGGAGAATCTTCAACAGTAAAGCCCTTTTCTTCAATCGGTGGCAAATACCTAGATGGGAATTATTAAAAATAAGCTTTCTACATAGACGGATCAGGAAAAGAAAAAGATTCATTTGAATGCAAATTCTTCAAGGCATTGAGATACTTTGGAGTTACAACATTGACACCCCTAAGCAAACAGCACAAAACCTGAAGAAAATAAAAACCAAAAAAACGCATACCTTATGAGTCACAATAAGTTTTGACATCACTAAAAGATTGCATTCCTGGGTCCATTCGGGGAGAATTTTCCCACCCAAAGAACAGATTATGGGCTGTAATTCCAACTTTATCCTAGGTAACACTGCGGAAAGAAGGATATTGAGAGGGGTAAATTTCATTCTAAAAACATAATTAATCACTATATTTTATAACCCACAGCACAGTAAAGCCCGGCTGGGCACCGAAAGTAACCTCAGAATTTGGAGGAATTTCTGTGGAGGCATTAGTGGTCAACCTGGATTTATTCAGAAATGTCCCAAAACGTGAAAGATCTGTGAGTTTCATAACTGGAAAGATTAAGGCGTTGTTAACACCTTCTTCAGGATATGAAATAAAGACATTTGCGTGCAAGCGGCTAACTGAAAGATCAGATATAATTAAATCTGTCTCTGCGCGGCCAATTGTATATTCCTGATTTGTTAACAGCAAACGTTTGTAGCCTTTTCAAAAGTTTAGCCAATCAAATGCTTACTATCATCATTTTTCTTAGTAATTAGCCACATGATAAAGTATTTAGTTTAATGGAGATTTAGCCTATCGAGATTCGGCCTATGGAATTCAATTCGCGATTCCATAATTAACAGCTGATAGCAATGCTATCAAACAACAAGATAAAGATTCCTTATTTAGATGGATTTCCCTCAGATAGCTTTAATTTATTTGCACGAAATTCATACTTAATTAATAGCTAGTGTTTCTGGAGCAGTGAACCAATAATAAGATATTTATTTATATCAAATGGCAGGCGTTTTGCTAGACATCATTAGCCCGTTTGCTGACATCGGGGTTAAGAGAGGGGCGGAACGTCAAAATGAGAAAAGGTTGATAGGGAGAACAAAAGAGAGATTTGCAGATATGAAAGAGACAGACGAACAAAAAGGCAGAGAAAAGGTAGGATTAGTATTGTGGAAGGGGTCGAATATGACATACAGTGGGGTCATGGTAGTTTGAAGTCGAGAGTCAACTGCCGGTTAATAGACATTTTTGCTTTATGAATGTACGTTGCCCAGGGTACACTACATAGACGTAAGTCTATCGCACACCCATAATAAGATATCAGTTTACATGCAGATATTAAAGAATATGAGGTCTATTAGGGAGAATTAAAAACATCTTATTTGGTTGCATAAATTTTTCGCTATTGTTTACATGATTTCTGATACTACCTCTTTTATAACAACGAATTTCGCTTATTTTGAGTTATACTGTTTCATTAATTTTTGTATTTTAGGTACTCGATACTTTGTTTTCGATTGCATAAATGAAACTAAAGTACATGAGTACAAATCCTTTTCAACATAATCCAAAGGGACATTTAGTAAGTCATAGTGAAAAAGGATTCACAGGATTGGTTAAATATTAATAAGATGCTTCGCATTCAGTGTTTTCTTTATAAAGTCCTTTTCGATATTACAAAATACAATTTCAATACATTCAAGGTAATGTTAAATTTATTTATTAAAAATAGCTTATAATAATATTTTACGCATTTTTAAAAGCAGAACTGTGAATTTTCTTCTTACGGTACCACAAACACAAACACACACACACACACACACATATATATATATATATAATATACAATAATAATATAGATAATTTTGACAGGCTCGTCAGGAAAAGGAAGAATAGGTTTGGAATCTAAAAGTACAGCCAGATCTACAATTAATTAATTGGGAAGTAAATTATAGGAATGTCAAAGAGTGATAATAGCAATCGCCATTACCGGTCTCAGATCTGGTTCCGAAATCCGGAACAACCTGTCTTTACACTTTAAAAAGGAAGAGTCTTGAAAACCGCTTTCATTCTATTTATCAAGTAAAGACACGTCGACTAGCTTCTCTCTCATGAGAATTTGGCATAGACAACGGTTCATGTTATTAGTATCTGAAGGAGATCTGTAGCCAGAAGTGCATTTAAACTCTTGGAACCGCACAAATTAGAAGACAACCATTTTTCATAATTGTAAGAGATTTGCGCTGAAGACCGGTCTTACTGTAGCCATACAGTGATCAGTTTTTTAAAATCCCCTTTTATAATCCGAGATAGTCTTCACCAATGCCATATACTTATCCATGCTCAAACCAGGCCATTAAAACTCAATTTATTTTCTAAAGTGACGATAGCTGCATCAATTCATTCTTAGCTGCGGAACAATATGAACGTTCGATAAGCATATATATTGGAAAAATTTAGTCTGGATGAGTCGATAAGTCACACTTTTCTGTTTGAAAGTCAAGAACATTGTTATTCATAGTGAAGTGCTTTTAAACCACGCGAAAGCTTTTCCTCATTATTTTGCTTCAGCAGTGTGTTTCAAGCTGGTCATGTGCATCTTTGTCTTTTCTTTGGGAAGTTGACCTCGATATCATTTTATGAACGCGAAATGACGGAGGTCTTTATTAAGTAGAGCACTCATTATAT